ATTCCTAGTGTGCTCCTACCCGGATCACACACCATGACCGCAGTCAACTGGAACTCCCTCCTGGAGACCTATCCAGCGGAAGTCCGAAAATGCCTGAAGGCTAATAAAACTGTCTACTGGCCAGAGACTCGGTACCGCAGTACCCATAGCAATAATGCATGCATGCTCATGTGTTCTATACTATTCATACACACTTCCTACCGTTGCCATCAACTGGCAAGGTGGAACAGAAAAGGGGAACAAGCCCCAGTACCAAGAGGTTACCTTAATTCGTGTTTCCACAAGCTCCGCAACAGCTTATCCCTCAACTCGGTACACAGCGGAATGCCTACACAGAGGACATTCCCAATCACTCTCAGTTCAACCCATACATGTTAATTTATAATTACACATGCAATGAACCAATTTCTTACCTCAATCCACTTGGTCCCGGACCAAGGGCAATTCACTGATTCAAGATTCGGGATTCAGGTCGACGTACGGCAACCTATACAATAACGTACATCCATCAGTACTCGTCAAATAGTATCAAAACGCAAAAACACAAAAATCCTCCCTTGATGGTTCGGCCATTGTAGTGTAAATGTGAGATTTATTTTTCTAAATTTTCTTTCTCATTTTGTTACGTCTCATTAGGTTGTCAATAAGCCAGTTCAAGTGTCGGTTCGTCATTTTCGCGTCGAATTACATCAAAACGCGAAAATCGCCAAATCACCCCTTTTCCCCTTGGAGGTTCGGCCATGTAGGTGTAAATTTGAGATTTATTTTCCTAAATTTTCTTTCTCATTTTATAACACTCCCTTAGGTTGTTTAGAGGCTAGTTCAATCATCGTTTTTTCGTTTTTCGACATTTACGCATCGTTTTGCGAAATATTTCATTCTGGGCTCATTTAGGTCTCTAACACAATTCATTTTTTTCCATTGATTCAAACACTCTCCAAGCACAACACAACCCATCTAAGCACCATATAACTACTCAAATCATCATCCAAATCATTTTTCAACATCAATTCTTCAATCTTTCTTAAAAGAATCGAATTTTACCCTATGGCATTCCAAGGAATTTCCATACAACTTTAATCATTCCACACCTCATACAATCCTATTATATCAACATACAATCATACAACAACTCATCAATCCAATCCTAACACATTTTCAAAACTCAAAGTCATGACAACCTCAAAATTTTCTAAGTTAAAAATTCACATTTTTCATCAATAAATTTCATCGCATTTCTAGCTTTAATACATCATTCTAACACATTATCATCTAATACACATTTTCAAATTGAGCTCTCTAACACAACACATCATCAAATCAAGCTTTAGGTTTCCAAAAATTCAATCACAATTAAACCATGTAAATGGGATGGAAACATACTCACAACAAAGGCTAGAAGCTAACCCAAGACTCCTCCAAGCAATGGAAGATCAAAAAGCTCCATGGACAACCATTTTTTCTCCAAAATTTCGTGGCTGTAAATGGCCAATATCTCCCCAAATACACGGTTTCAAGGCTCAAGAGTGGTACCAATGTGTTTAGAAGGTTGTTTCCAACAAATTTCAACACAAAAATCACTTGATTTGGTTAAGAAATGATCAAGTTATGGTGAAAAGAAAATTTGAATGCAAATGGGGTTTTTGGGGGAGGGGGCTGCGGGTTTCATGAAGAAGAAGGGAGGAAAGTGATGCATGAATAGTGCCAAGCACATGTGGCTTAAGTCACTTAAGTGGGGTGGGTCCCACCGCCACCTCACGCGATTTAAAACTAATCCGAATTTTCCTCCGATTCCACTAAACGTCCGTAAATTCACAACCTATTTAGAAACTCAAATTTTTAACATTAATTATTCCCCTTTAATTAGGCTTGATCAGGTGAATTAAGAGTCCTCCATTCGTTCGGAGAAAACACTGTTTTAAGCTATTACGCGCGCCATTGGCACGCTTCCCCAAACTGTCTTAATTTCATCGAATATTATAAGAAATCATATTTCCTAACTCATTAGACCATTTTTAACTCATATTTGAAACCTAGAGCTCAAAATTCAACTGGCACGTTTTACGGTGCAATCGTAACGCGATATTTTTACCCGCGAAAAACACTATTCACTGATTTTTCTGAAACTTGCCTGTCCACTCAATTTTTCGTTCTGAATCCATTTCCAGGGTTATTTTTACCATCTGAGACCTTCTACTCAATTTTTATCTTCCTAGGGTTGCGTGTTGGCTAATTACCGTTTTGCCCTTTCTTTGTATTTTGGCCTAATCTTTTGGATTTTCACTAATCCATCACTTGATTGCTCACTTAATATTTTAATTACTTGATTTAAAATTGTGAGGTGTTATATATATCAATTGACTAACAAACTCGTTTTTGTGTGGCTAAGATAATTAGATTTACTGCTGTAAATATTTCAGAAACAAACATCTAAATAAAATGAACAATTAAATTGTGATAAATGAAAGTCCATCTAAACAAAATGAATAATCAACACAACATTATAATAATTAAATAATTTTTCATAAAAACTAAAAAGTAAAAAATGTAGCTTGAATATTTTCTAAAAAGTATAAAAAATAACTTCTAATTTTTTAACTTCCAATCGTTTGAAAAAACGAGTAATACTCACTTTTGAAGGAGTTTTTTTTATGCAGGGTGCTGATTTGGAACATTATCAGAGAACTTAACGTTCTCAATGAAAAGTCCATGTTATTTAAGGTTAACGTAAAAAAAATAATTTGTAGTCATATAATGAGCCAAGATATCAACTTTCAAGAGTTTGAAGCTGTGAAGCTATTGTCACCTCATTCCTTAAGTCTTTGGTGGATGCAAATGTATGTTATTTTTCTTAAAAATTTATCATCGTGGGTTCTTTATATTGTTACAAATGTTGTGCATGTGTTTTAATTTTTTTCCGCGATTAAAAAAATTACAGGATGAAGCAATCTTCGATCATGCTTCCGATAATGATGTTCTATCGGCGGACACGGGAAAAGTGTCGGTATGTATTGAAATTATTATTAATGTCACGGTTAATCAATAAAAGAAATTTTAAATTGTTTTTTATTTCATACAATTTTTATTTTTCACCACGATGTTGAGAGTCACCTGTGAGAGTACCGATGATGCTTAAATTTTCCTGTCTTTGTTGACATTTTCTGTGAATTTTACTGATCTTGTTGAAGATAAATCTAATTGTTCGGCTGTGTGTCCTCTTAAGAAGATTAAATTGGAGAAGGAATTAAGTACTCGACTATTTATTTTAAACAAAAGAGAAAAATTCATCAATGCCCCTGTGGTTTACTCCAGAATCACTTATGCCCCTGTGGTTTTTTTCTTATCACATATGCCCCTGTGGTTTGTAAAAGGGTATGTTTTTTATCACGTATACCCCTGTGGTTTCTTATTTTTTACAAAGCACATGAGCATATGTGATAAGAAAAAAACCACATGGGCGTAAATGATTCTGAAGCAAACCACAGCGGCATTGGTGAACTTTTCCCTAAACAAAATTGAGTATTTATTTCAAACAAAATTGAAGATATTGATACTTGATGATAATAGTTGTGTTACAAATAGTACCTTTGACATCGTCTACAATGAAGTATTTCAAAGATTAGTGAGTTGATTTGATGTTGTTTAGATACATTTGTTCTAATGTAAGCAAAAAAAAAAAAATGACTCATACACGCCTATTTGGTTAAGTTGCTTTCAAATCCTTTTCAAACAATGTTTTTTGGGTTCTAAAAAAAAAAAATTAATCCAATTTTTTTTCTGAGACTATTACTTCTCGGTGTTAACATATTATCGTAATCTATTTAATTAGTATTTGCATTCTGTATCACAGGCATAAATGTGATGGTAGAAAAGGATGTCCCTGGTAATGCATAATCATAGGAAATCACATGTTTGATATGTGTTGAACTTATCCCTCCAATAGTTGCTACAAAATGACATTGAATTAATAGTATTTTCTTATTATAGATACAAGCTGATTTTTTATTCCATATTTGCTTGATCTAATTCTTACCTTGATTTTATTGGTGGCTGTTATAGTTTGCAATAAGTTGTATGTATTTTTCTTTTTTTAGCCATCCTCATGTTAACATAGTCTACTATGACGTATTTATTTTTTACATAACTCATCGAGTAGATAACTATATTTGATGTGCATAATAATTGATCACTTTGAATATCAGATTTTTGTTTGTGATTGATATTTGCAAAGTTCTGTGTCAATGCTATATTTTTTTTCACCTGAAAAATAGAACAAAATAGCAACACAGTTTTTTGTAAATATAAGGTTTGCATTGCGATTAACCAACTATTGCAGCTGACAAAATTACAATAATAAACCTTAATGAAGGAACTGATTAGACATAATAATTTACTCATTCTAATCAATTACATAATAATTTGAAATTCAAATGATTTCGAAATAATCCACAGTAAATAATACAAATTAATATTTTTAATCAAATTACAGATAAAATCATAAAAATTACAGATTTATAAAATTTATAATATTCATTATTTTAATCAAATTACCTATGCTTTGTGATTTTTTTAATCACATATGCCCCTATAATTTACACAAAAATATGTTTTTTTAACATATATATTACTTTCTGCAAACCACGTAGACAATAAAAAAAACCGTAAGGACGATTCTAAAGTACTTGTGAACTTTGAACTTTTTCCTAAATTTAATAACAATCGCTCTTTTGTTTTTTATTTGAGGCGTACTTAATACGCGTACCGCGTATTTGTTAAGTATGTTAGAATGTTTGTACTAGAAAAAAAAAAAGTATGTTAGAATGAAATTGCATCTTGCATCTTGCATCTTCGAGAATTTATCAGGGTGAACAAAAGCTAACCAAGTTGTGTACGTGGAAGCACTGAATTCACCATTTTTCTGGCTGAATCCTAAATCATGTGGTTGAAAATTTTCCTTATGGGCTCTACCATCCTGTCGTCGGAAATTGCTAATACAAAAACACAGACCACTCATAACTTTTGGTTTCAAGGTATAACAAACCTAAACCTCGTCGGCGTTTTGCTCGTACTTAAAAAGCTTTTGCGGAAGCGCGTTCCCAAACACGATATTGGGAGATTTGCGGCTTTGGCATCTGAATCATGAGTGCCGCAGCGGCAGCAACAACATCTAGTTGCAATTTGTACTCAAAGAGTAAACTATCCTCGAATCTCCGAGGTTCTATTTCTTTCCCAAAAATCAGTCGTTTTCTGTCCTTCAATAACGTTCGTCCATGCCGCTCTTCTTGGTTGCTGCTAGCTCCCAGGGCTGCTGGCAAGAACGAAAATGCCCAAAATGACGGTGATAATGAAAAACGTGAGGTACAAAAGCAGCGTGTGCTACAGCAACCATCTGTGTCGCTTAGCCTGGACGACGTGAACCCGGTGGGACTGGGTCGAAGATCGCGGCAGTTATTCGATGAGGTTTGGCGTAAGTTCTCGGGATTGGGTCAGATATCTAGGACCATCCGCACCGATGATAAGGAGGCCCTTGATGCCCTTCTCGTCCGGGAAGGTCCCATGTGCGAGTTTGCCATCCCTGGCGCTCAGAATATTACTGTGCTGGTTGTTGGTGCCACCAGCCGCATCGGTCGCATCGTTGTTCGTAAGCTCATGCTCAGGGGTTACGCAGTAAAGGTGCCTCCTCAGTCCTCTCTATATTTTTCATTAATTTTAAATCTGATAGATGGATACAATACAAAGATTGACAACTTGATTTAAGTGTTTTTTCATCATAAACTGGTCTAAAATATTAAATGAATTTTTTCTCCAATTTAGGCTTTGATAAGGAGGGCAGATCAGGAGGTGGTAGACCTGCTTCCAAGGTCAGTAGAGATAGTGATTGGGGATGTTGGTGATCCCAGCACTGTAAAGGCTGCTGTAGAAGGCTGCAACAAAATAATATATTGTGCCACTGCCCGCTCTGCTATCACTGGTGATCTCTTCAGGGTTGATCATCGAGGAGTTTATAATCTATCTAAAGCCTTTCAGGTCTGCGCCTACCCCCCACAACACACACACAAGTAATAATAAAAATAAAAAAGTGTGCCTGAATGCATGCATGCCTTCGTATCCCGAAGAGGATGTATATCTAACTGGATAATTCATCGTTACATATTATTTTAAATCCAAATCTTGCTTGATAAAACTTCAAATTTGACACAAATTTCAGGATCACAATAATAAATTGGCGCAATTGCGGGCTGGGAAAAGCAGTAAAAGTAAGCTCTTGATTGCCAAATTCAAATCTGCTTCTTCATTGGATGGATGGGAAGTTCGTCAAGGAACTTACTTCCAAGATGTAGTTACCACAAAATATGATGGCGGGATGGATGCTAAATTTGAGTTCACCGAGAATGGAGAGGCTGTTTTCTCAGGTATATCTCATGGATATGGCTGAACAGTACCAACAGGCTTTGTAAGATTTATTTCTTATAAAGAAGTCTACACATTATCTTTTTACCCCTATATTTTCATATTATTTTTAGGGTATGTCTTCAATAGAGGAGGCTACGTGGAACTATCAAAAAAGCTTTCTCTACCTTTAGGTTGTACTCTTGACAGGTATCAGATACTAGATAAATGATTTTTGTGGATGAGATAATCATCTAGAATTGTTTTGTATTTTGCTAAAAGTATGAACTTCTATCATGCATTCATGCATAATAATTTGATCTGTCATGATAGGTATGAGGGTCTGGTTCTCTCTGTTGGTGGCAATGGAAGATCTTATGTATTAATTCTAGAAGCTGGTCCTGTGGTGGATCCAAGTCAGAGTAGATTGTATTTTGCTAGAATTAGTACAAAAGTGGGATTTTGCCGCGTAAGAATAATTTTCCTTTTTGACGAAGTTATGGTTTCTCCGTTCTGACTAGCCTGCTTTAAATTTATTTTTCTTAGCACTGATTATTGGTCAAGTTATAGCTTTCATGTTTCCTGTCTGTATTACTATGACAGGTTAGAGTACCATTTTCATCATTCCGCCCGGTGAAACCAGATGATCCAATTTTAGACCCTTTTCTTGTACATACATTGACAATACGCTTTGAGCCTAGAAGACAGGTGATGTATACTAACTTATTGTTTCCAATTCACTTCCTTAAATCTAGCTTGTATTTTAGGACCTTGTATTTGTCTTTGCAATATAATATCTTATTTTTGTAATATACAACAACTTGCTCTCCTTTCTTTTCCAAATATCTGGATAATGGGTGAGGAGAAAAATAAAGTGAGATCGTGGTTTCCCGTTAAAAAAGTCACAACATCTGAATGCAAAAGAAGGCGGTGGCAGTTTCTAACTCCTATAACATAAGGTGATTGGGTATTGCTGTCCAAACAAAAGCCTAATCCTGAGAGGGAATTTTAACATTCCAAAAGGATTAAAGCCTAAACCTGAGAGGGGATTTTAGCATTCCCAAAGGATTTAGGGCTGAATTGTGAGTGGAAGGCCTCAGAATTTAAAAATGGAAAAGAGATTTTCAAGATGTTAAAATATATTTTATGAAAGATCAATAGCTAATTATGGTAAATGAAAAACTACTAAAATTTCTCCCATTTGTAGCCTTTCATGTCTTCCATGCTATATGACCCAAAACTTTTGGAGTTAAACAATTTTAGGACCTTAGATAACGGACTAAACAAATACAGAGTTTATAGATGTAAAGAACCTTGAGATACACTAACAGAGGCCCACACAGAGGCCCACTAAGATAAAACTAAACACTAACAGAATAACAAATGTAAAAAGAAAGAGGATATTAGGTATTGTACAACCAGAAACATAATAGACTAAATACAAGCTAAACAAACGAGACTTATATACTCTAATACCCTCCCTCAAACTCAGCAGTTTTGGGAATCTAAAACTGAGTTTGCTTCTTAAATCTGCAAAACAGGAGACAAGGCTTTTGTAAGAGTACCTGCAATTTGATCAGTAGCAGGGATACGAGAGACAAGATCTTTTTGAATCACCCTCTCCCAAACGAAGAAGATGTCAAGCTCCATATGTTTTGTTCTAGCATGAAGCACAGGATTATGAGAAAGAGCCACCGTGCTCATGTTATCACACAGCACCTGAGGTGTGGCCAAAGGAACTTGAAGCTCTTGAAATAAAGATTTGATCCAGAGAATTTCAGCACAAGTTGATGCAAGACTTTTATTCAACCTCAGTGCTTGAACAAGCTACCAAGGTCTGTTTCTTGGACCACCATGACACAAGATTCGGGCCAACAAATAAACAAGCACCAGAGGTTGATCTTCTATCATCGGGTCACTAGTCCAATTAGCATCACAAAAGGTAGTCAGTGTTAAAGGGCTTGTACCTGAAGGAAGAGACCATAGGAGATTGTACCTTTAAGGTACCTAAGAATTCTCTTGACAGCCAGCCAGTGTTCCTCTAGAGGTTGGGCCATGAATTGACACACCTTATTGACTGCATAGCTTATCTCTGGTCTAGTAATTGTAGCATTTTGTAGGGCACCAACAATAGACCGAAAATGAGAAGTATAAAACAAATAAGTAGATCCACACCTTGAAAGTTTTCAGCCAAACACCATAGGTGAAGATATGCTTTTAGCATCATGCACTGTTGCTCGGGTCAACACCAAGAAAATAGTCTAAATCACCCAAGTCTTTGAGTGCAAACTGAGAGTGGAGCTGAAAGATTAAAGTCTGAATAAACTGACGACCAGGGCCTGTGATTATGATATCATCAACATACACAAGGATGAATGTTTTCAAGAGGCAGTCTTCATAATGAACAGAGAAGGATCACAACAACAGGGAGTAAATCCAAGAGAAAGCAGTGCAGTGCGCAACTTGTCAAACCAAGCTCTAAGAGCTTGTTTGAGACCATAAAGAGCCTTGTTAAATTTGCAAACAAGATGCTTATTAGAGTGCTCAAAACCAGGGGGTTGAGCCATAAATACCTCTTCCTCTATATCTCCATTGAGGAAGGCATTGTTTACATCCAATTGCCGTAAAATCCAGCCTTGAGTTATTGCTAAAGTGAGCATAATTCTAATAGTAACTGGGTGAACAACTGGACTAAAAGTCTCATTATAGTCAAATCCAGCTTGTTGATGAAATTTTTTTGCATCCAAACATGCCTTGTACTGTTTGATGGTTCCATCCGAGTTTTCTTTGATTCTAAAAACCCATTTGCACCCTATAGCCTTTCTGTTAGATGGCAAGTCACCAAGAGATCAAGTGTTGTTAGCTAACAAAGCATTAAACTCAGTTTTCATAGCCTTAAGCCAAGGGGAACTAGCCAATGCCTGTTTGACAGAAGAAAATTCAACATGGGTCAAAAGGGCTAAAGGTCTGGACAGAATGAGCAGGTGAGTGCAAGGGGATAGTAGAAGATGGTACATACTTAGAAACTGAAGAAGAGTCAGAGGAAGAAGAAGAAGAGTGCAAACCTGAATGGTTGGGGGAACTGTGAGCATGTGGAACTTCAGATTAAGTAGTTGGTGAAGTGTGAAGAGAGATGGCTGAGCTGATATGAGGGGTTAGTGGACTGACTGGAGAATTTGGTGAATTGTGTGACATAAGAGAAAAATTTGACTGATGATGACTGTTAGAAGACGCCAGGTCTTCACCTGGATTTGGTGAAAAGTATGTCAGGGTCCCAACACGCAGATGAGCGAGCGTGGCAGGCAAGCACAGCCCAGGGGTTAAGGATGCGATTGGGAAGCTGGAACATAGGAACCTTAACGGGTAAATTAAGAGAGTTAACAGATGTTTTTGCTAGAAAGAAAGTGATATTGTTTGTTTGCAAGAAACTAAGTGGGCTGGAGAAAAGGCCAAGGAAGTGGATGGAACTGGTTTCAAGTTATGGTACACAGGTATTAACAAGAGTCGAAATGGTGTTGGAATTATGATCGATAAAAGTTTCAGAGATAAAGTTGTGGACGTCAAAAGGAAAGGCGACATGATTATTCTGGTTAAGCTTGTAGTGAGTCATTTAATCCTGAATATCCTCAGTGTGTATGCACCCCAAGTTGGATTGCAATCAATTGATAAAAGCCAATTTTGGGAAGACTTGGAGGAGGTTTTGAGGGGAATACCTCGAGAGGAGAAGATTTTCTTAGGAGGAGATCTAAATGGTCATGTTGGTAAAAGCAATGGAGGTTTTGATAGAATTCATGGAGGTTTTGGCTATGGGACGAGAAATGAGACTGGAGAAGATATCTTGAATGTTGCACTAGCCTACGATTTGATGCTAGCGAACACCTTTTTTCGAAAAAGGGAGTCACATCTAATCACTTTTCATAGTGGCCAAAATCGTAGTCAGATTGATTTCTTTCTGGCTAGAAGCGAAGATAGAACTTCTTGTGTCGACGGTAAGGTCTACCCTGGAGAGTGTGTCGCTACGCAACATAAGCTGGTAGTCCTGGAGGTTCGGTTCAACAAAGTACTTACAATGAGGAAGAGGGCTCAGAACCCGAGGATAAGGTGATGGAAGCTTAAGGAGGGAAAAGAGAGAGAGTTCAATGAAAGAATGTTGCACGAAGGACCTTGGGAGTTTAATGGAGGAGCAAATGCTATATGGAATGAGATGGCTAAGTGTATTCAAAATATGGGAAGGAGGGTGTCGGGAGAAAGCAAAGGAAATGGATTTCATACAAAGGAAACATAGTGGTGGAATGAAGAGGTGCAAGAGGCAATTAAACATAAGAAGGAGTGCTTTAGATCTTTGCATAAAAGTCCCAGTGAAGAGAACTTGCAAAAGTTTAGATTGGCAAGAAAAAATGCAAAGAAAGCAGTGCGAGAAGCTAGAGGCAATGTTTTTGCTGATTTGTACAAAAATCTTGGGAGCAAGGATGGTGAAAAAGGTATATATAAACTTGCAAAAATAAGGGATAAGAAAAGTAAAGACCTCACCCAAGTTAGATGCATCAAGGATGAAAATCAAAAACTTTTGGTGAGAGATGAAGATGTAAATGCAAGATGAATGAACTACTTAAACAAGCTGTTTAATGGGGATGGAGATATAAGAGAGGTGGACTTAGAGGACGCTTATGATGATTTGAATAGAAGATTTGTGCGCAGAATTAATACACATGAAGTTAAGGAGGCTTTAAAGAGGATGAAGACTAATAAAGCCTTGGGACCTGATGGGGTCCCTATTGAAGTGTGGAGAGGCCTGGGGGATGTGGCAATAAAATGGTTGACCAATCTTTTTAATAAGATTCTCTAGACAAATAAGATGCCTGATGCATGGAGGAAAAATATGATTGTGTCTATCTACAAAAACATGGGAGATATACAGGATTGTTCAAACTATAGAGGCATTAAGCTAATGAGCCATACTATGAAGTTCTGGGAGAGAGTTATTGAGCATCGCTTGAGGAGAGATACCAAGGTTTCTGTGAATCAATTTGGATTTGTGCCACGAAGATGTACCATGGAAGCCATTTTCTTGATGCGACAACTAATGGAAAGATATCGAGAAAAGAAGAAGGACTTACATATGGTGTTCATAGACCTTGAGAAAGCATACGATAGGGTTCCAAGGAAAGTTTTATGGTGGGTTCTGGAGAAGAAAAAAGTACCATCAAAGTATGTAAAGGCAATCAATGATATGTATGATGGGGCTACTACATGTGTGAAAGCTTGCAACGGAACATCAAGTTATTTCCCTATCACGGTAGGTGTATACCAAGGGTCAGCTCTAAGTCCTTATCTCTTTGCCTTAGTTATGGATGAACTAACAAAAGATATTCAAGAGGAAGTGCCATGGTGTATGCTTTTTGCAGACGATATTGTGCTTATTGATGAGAGCAAAGATAGTGTTAATAGAAAACTTAAATTGTGGAGAAGCACATTGGAATCTAAAGGATTCACATTAAGTCGAAGCAAGACTGAGTATCTGAAGTGTGAGTTTTCTCTGGTAAGAGATGTAGACCAAGATCCCGTGCATCTAAGTGATCAAGAGGTACCCAAGAAAGACGCTTTTAAATACCTGGGCTTCATTTTTCAAAAAGGTGGAGAGATTGATGAGGATGTAAATCATAGAATCAGAGCAGGGTGGATGAAATGGCGCAGTGCATTTGGGTTTT